CGTCCGCGCGCTCGCGCCTCAGGCGGCGCGGAAATGGCGGGAAGGTGAAGCCCCGTCCCACCCGCTGAGGGCACGGCGGGAGCGGCCGCGCCCGGCTGGGAGACACAAAACCCCTTTAATCACCCCCTCGGTGCGATTTCATTAATTACCCCGGCCCCGAGGAATCGGTGTCACCCTCAGAGAGCCCGAGGTAGGAGCTGAATCTCCAGAAGTGTGTGGACGCAAACGCAGCTGTAAATAAAAATAAGGGCATTCTTCACCCTGTTTGTCTCTTTAGCTGTTCTGGCTTTTACACATGGCTAGTTCCTGTCTAAAATCTGAGTGCTTGGCACGATTGGATCTTGTTTTGTTTTGTAAACCTTTTCCTTCAGAAGCGCTCCCAAAGCTCTGTATGTAGCCCATCAAACCAATCTGGATTCTTACTAAACTAAATATCCCACATCCTTTTTCAGAGTGTGAGTATTGGCAAAGCACTGGAATGAGGGATGGGTCCCAGCGTTTAACCCTGAAGAGTGAAAACTTCCTATGTGAATTCCATTCCTATGTGAATTTCCATTAATTCCCAAAGTGGCAGGTCCTGGGACACCAGGAGTTAAAGTGTTTGGATAAGAACTCCTCTAAAGGGATAAAAGAAGCTTCCATGTGTTTAGTTCCTAAATTCATGTTTGGAAATTCACTGTCTTTATCCTATAAACACTCTTAGGAGACAAACTTCTTGCATGTTAATTAAGTGAACAGACATCTCTGTGTTTCATTCAGCGCTTTGGAAGGAGTTACAACCATTACAGTGCCAGCAGGAATAAAAGATAAACTAAATGTTCCAGCCCTCCATGTTTGCATTTTGCTGTTTAGTCTTCAAGCTGCTGCTGTGTTTAAATTCAGGAAACCCAGATTCAGAGTGTGAGTTGTGTTTTTGGGTGTTGTGTCACTCCTCATTCTGGCACCACTGCTGAAGAGAGGCAGGGATCAAAGGCCAGTACAGACTGTCCAGTGCTGTAAAATGCAACTTTACTGCTTTGTTTAATAAATTACCTATTCTGATTAAATATCTGACAGCTTCCAAGTACAGAATAATACAGTTGAGTATTCAAGCAAACAGTCTCTCTGTATTAACTCACTGTAAAGTTCAGCAAACTCTGAGCGCGTGAACCAAAACAAAAAGAAATTTTTGTAGAAATTATATTCCTGGCAGAACTATTCTAGTTAAATCCCGTGCTTAGCTTTTCCTAGACCTACAGTCTGGCAGCCTGAGATATAAAGTCTTTCAGACACTGGCCAAATATTCTCTCAGTCACTGGAGTATAATCTTAATAAAATGGAATTGTTCAATAAACATTCTTTATTCTCTTGCAATCTAATATTTGTTAATGTTTATATCATGAGGAATATACCAATTGCAAATACATCTGTCATTTACAAAAATAAAGCTTATTTTTCTGTTAATAAGTCCTTTTATTCTAAATGTTTTGATTCTCAGGATGGAAGTTACAGCTGCTCTTTGGCTTAAGCTTCAGAAGCCTTTCTGAACACTTTTGGAAATGGAAGAAAAGTTGCTGACTAAAGTTTTTTGGGGAGAGAACAGAACTATTGTTCCATCGTGGTCTAAATCCGTTTCCTTCTTAATAAAAGACTGCTAAAGTTAGAGAGTTGTCCCTGGCAAAGTTGTTTCGATGTGTTAGAGGTCTGTGTTAGCAGATCCCAAGATAGAACTGGAGCCAGAACTCTGGGCAAGTCAGTCATGGATAAATTGCACTGTAATTTCAGCTCATGTTCCTTCTAATCACTGTTTGTAGGATTTCTGAAACAAAAGAGGTTTTACAAGCCACGGCATGCATTGAGGAACGTAGCTGTTCTTTGGCTTTTTTTAGATGAAAATACTTAATGTTTCAGCATTGTATGCTGGACTAGAGCCAAGATATGATTCTTATTTTGCTGATTTTGCTCACTTTAAATCATTCTTCCCTTATATAATATAATACTTATGGAACTTCAAACATACATGAAAATACCTGTTACACCTATTTGCAGTGCAAAAAATGCCTGACATTTAAGTGTAAAAACAGTGTTTTCCACTGTTCATTAGCACAGGATTTCCCTATAGATCATACATTATAAAGACTGCCCAGAGTTAACTTTTGGACTGTGGAACAGTGCCATTAACAGCCTCGGAGATGTTACTAAATACAGAAACTGAAGGGGAGGCTCCTTGGGGAGGGAGGATGGAAAATCCCGCCTCAAAACTGAGTTGAGAATTATTGGGAGAAATCCACTCACTTTCTTTCGCGTCTGACCTAACCAGAAGAAAGACTCTCCTACTGGAAAGAATTATTTTTTTGTTGTTGTTGTTTTTTTTTTTTCCCCCTCAGAGAGAAGTTTTCCTTGAGCATGAGCTCCCCGTGTGCTCGGGTGAGACGGGTCGGGCTCTTCGGGGGCACTCACGGCAATGAATTATCGGGGGTGCTCCTGGTCAGGCACTGGCAGCAGGATGGAGCTGAGATCCAGAGAGCAGGAGTGCAGGTGAAACCATTCCTCACCAACCCCAGGGCTGTGGAGAGCTGCACCAGGTACATTGACTGTGATCTCAACCGGGTTTTTGACCCCGAGAGCCTCGGGTAAGAGCAGTTGTGCTTTCTGTTGTTCTGCTTTTCTGGGTTTTAAAATTCTTTCCAGATTAAAATGTTGAACGCCAGTTCCCCTACTACTTTAACAGTGCAGTCACATAACTGAAATTACTGACCTTTAACCCAAAAAAAGAACAAATTGCATGTGTTAACAGACTCACTTCTATTGCTGGTAGAATCAGTCTCAAACCAACACATGATCTTAAACATGATTTTAAATTAGCATTAGATGAGCTGCATTTGTGTGGAGTACCACTGTTCCGAGTCAGAGTCATTATTTCTCATGTCTTGTGCAATTCAGTTTCAAAGCTCTTCTGAATACAATTACGCTTACAAGAAATAGCAGATAAAAGCAATTAAACGGGAACATCTGAATATCTGTAAGAATGGCACAGAAATCAGGGAAGTGTGTTTAATTCCAGTTATGTACAGCAAAAGGTGAAAACTTGAAATTAGAAAAACTTGGAGCTAGAAATAATCTATTCTAAGGCAAAAGCATAGCCAAAAATCACAATAATTTAACAGACTAATTATTTTAAAAGAAATACTGTCTATAATTACTGTAAAATAGTAACTGATTCTACATTTTTAATAGGATTTGATGTTTCTGTGCCTTTGAGACATCTATTCCAGAGGTGTACTTTGATATATAAACAATCTTAGTATAGTTTCTCACCAGGTAATTCTATTTCAGAAAAGTTTTAATGGCAAAGGTGAATATCACAGAAAGGCATACTTACTGTATATATATTGCAGGCAGTTATTCTTACCCTACGTATCTGGCTTTTCATCTTAGAATTTTGTTGTTGATCATTAGATCTAAAATAAGCAGATGATACACATAAGATCATAGATGACACACGTAAGATCATACACATAAGTGTTGAGGTCATTCTTCTAATTGTTTACTTTGGAAAAGCATACAAAAAAAGTAGTTTTGTTTAGTTTCAGCTGCTTTGAACAAAGAACACTTGAAAAAACACCAGATTAAGACACCTGCAGGTTTCCTTCATATTTTAACTACTATTTCTCAGTAAATACTATGAAGTTGCCTGGTTCTATTTCAGCACTACTGGGTGTTTGAAGTACCTTCCTCTGGTCCCTTAAGTGTAGAACCTTCAAGATCACAAATTATTATACAAAATAAGAAAAAGGAGGGTGAAATCTTGATACTACTGAAAGCAGTGATGTAAATCTCATTGGCTTCAAAAAAAAGGATTAATTAACAGTTTTATGTGAAGGAATGTTGAATTTCAAAGGCAGAGCTAATGAACAGAAAGGTGGATTATATGTACACAGAGTCTCCTGAAATTACAAGTATTAAAACTTTGGAGAAACAGATTTGAGGCAGCAAAATCTTCACTGAGCTTTAAGCATCCTAAAAGAATAGACTGAAAAAGTCTGGTCAGATCATGAGAAGACAAGAAATAAAACAGGTTAGAAAAAACCTTGAGGGTAATGCCCAAGGCAAAACATCATGGACTGATGTCTGATTATGGTCTGCAGCAGGAGGGGGATCCAATCTTGGAAGTGCTCTGTGTTGTTGCTAAATTTTATTTAGTTTTATTATGCACAGGGGGAAATTTGGGGATGTAAGGAGAAATAAGTAATTTCCACCCAAA